ACTCATACAGGCCTTCTCTTCTTGTGGCACTCCTGCCCAAGTCCTTCTTGGAGGCTGCTGGATGGTGCCACAGTAGCTAGAGTACTGGGCTGGGAGCCAGAAAGACATGAGTTCAAATCCTGGCCTCAGATACTTCCTAGCTGTATGACCCTGGGCAAGTCACTTAACTTCTGCCCTGGTTCCCTCATCTGTAAAATAGGGATGATAACAGCACCTTCCTTACAAGGTTGTGAGGATCAAATGGGATAATGCTTGTAAAGTGCTTTGAAAACCGTAAAGAGCTATATAAATGCTAGTTTATTATTATTATTAATATCTCCACAGGTGCGGGGGTTCCACCCAATATGCTGGGGACCTTCCTTCATATCTCTTGACATCAGTGAATTTCAAATGCTGTTCACTGATTACTCCCCACCCTGCCTACATGAACAGGTTTCATTGGCTGCACACCTCTTGGATGACATTCTCGTTAGCACGATTCTTCATTGACAAAGCAGCGTAGCCTGCTCCTAACCAAACATCTGCCTCCTCAATTGCCCTTTGGGAGACCCTCCAGTCAAATTGTCCTGAGGCTGGGTTATTCCTTGGTTTGTAGCCATAAGCACCACCAGAAGAATCATCATTCTTTCTGGAAGGACGCAAGTCAATTTTCCTCTCAGCATTTATGGAGTGGGTGCTACTGGTGGACAACTGACAAATCTCCAATCCCATGACTGCATTTGCAATCAGTCTATCAGTGCCAGAGTCATTAGTATAATTGTGATAAGTAGGTCTAAGAGCATCTGTATTAGCCAGACCATTATGTACCTATTTGGGATTTGCTGAAATGAGCATTCCTGCCTCAGGATAAAGGCTTTTTCAGACAAAGCCTGAAAGCCACTAGTACTTGACTACCAGTTCGTGGAGTCCAGCTTGTAGCAGGAATGCTAACAAGATCTGTTTTTCAAGGGCAAGAGGACAAAGCAGGGCAGAACATTGCAGACAGTTCTGGGTGCTTTGGACCAGTCCCTTGCCTCCCTGGCATGCACGATGCCTGCTTTCCTTGGACTTTCCCCTCTTCTGTTCTGTTAGAGATTCTAAGGGTTCAACCACTCCCTGTGTCAAACGTCCAAGGATCATGAAGCAGTCATGCTACACAGAATGTGGCAGATATTAATTGACTTTTTCAAAGAATCCACACACACAAAACACCCCCACACTCTGCAGGTTCTGAAACAGCCCCACTGCAATTTAAAGAAGTTACGTTTGGTGGTTCGAGGTTTCATTTCTGCCTCATCTGTGCAGCGCTCTTGCTATGTCTTCATCTTGTGTAGAAGCCCTACTAGACTTTTAAACAATTGCTGGGACACAGCCTACTCCAGGTACCAACTCACAGCAAAAGCCCTTGGGAAGGAACTGCTTGGTCCCAAATGATGGAAGTTCTCCTAATTGGGCTGCTCTTGCCCAACTCGTGCTCATTCTTAATTTTCAAACCGCCACTTCGGGGGACCTCTTAGCTTGTTCTAGCTATTCTAGTAACTCAATAGCCTTCCCCCCCCCCCCACAACACACAAGTCAGAGTGTAAAAGAATCTTGAATCTTGGGAGTTTTCCAGACATCTCTCTTTAAAAAAAAAGATTCAAGGTAGAAAGAGAAACACAGTTTTTCAGACAATATTCTGAGAACTCCAAAGATTCACCTATGCACATTGGCTATTAAGAAATATTAGACTAGGTTAACCTTTTGGTACTCTAAGAGACTTAAATTTTTTATTTCATTTTTTCAGTTGATAAAAATCTTTTCTCTCTCTATTGCTTTCCACCATTGGAAAAAAAAAGGCAAAATAAATCCCCTATACCAAATATACATAGTCAAGAAGAACATTTCTTCCTAGACTCTGCCTCAAAATGCAGGCCTCGTTCTGCACAGAGTCTGCTGTCTTTCTGCTGGGAGGTAGACAGCATGCCTCCTGAGCCCTTGGGAATCCCAGTGGGCCACCGTATTCATCTGAGTTCCTAAGTCTTTTGAAGTCACTTGTTCTTACATGGTTGTTGCCCTTATACACATTGAGCTGCTGGTTCTGCTGGATTTTCATCTCATTGGTACAGTCTACCCAACCACAATTTTTCATGGTCTGAGAGTCACGTCCACATTCTGACACGCACGTAATCTTGTGGATCAATGATCATATCAATATAATTTCAGCCTACAACAATGCATGGCACCAAGTCTCCAGCCTTGCCCATTTGGTGAGGCTCTCACCCGTGTACCCCCACATCATTGCCATAGGGGCTCCAGCCCAATGTGCTGGGGCTCTCCTTTACTTTCTCTTGATCAATCAATGCAAGAGTATTGATGGAGCACACAGGCTACCTATCGGTTGTCTGTTGCTTTTGTCATGTGTGACCAGTCCATTATGTTTTTTTTTTTTTTGGGGGGGGGTTGCTCATATGTTTCTTTGATGGCATCATTCACTCTTTTCAATAATTCTTTGTTTGGAATGTGTTGAATCCTATGCATCCTCATACATGCTTCTCACCATTGTTTGTCCTGTGGGCAATTTCAATTCTTTAGAGAACACAGTGTTCCACAATGCAAAGCCAAACACCACCCAAAAATGCTGCTATTGAAAAGGTGGGCCTATATTTCTTGGCCATGCTTTCGTATAACCTCTCCGCAGATAATTTACCTAATAGGTTCGAGCCCACTGTCCAGTTTTCTGACTCTTTCATGGCTACAAAGTGCTGTCCCTGAGTGGATGGAGCCACCTCCTTCCCCAGGCACACATGGCCATCATCACATCTTTTATGATACTGCATAATCCCTAACTGGTAACTTGCTGCAGACTACTTATCCCTCTCTGCCTCTCTTCCTCAGGAGTTCCCTCCAGCAATGAAGTCACAGGTTCAGTTCCGAAAATGTTGGGTTAATTTCGAGATAATTTGAATTTTTCAGAGTATTTCTCCTCCACTTCTGTAACAGATATTAGTGCATAAATTGTAATCCTTTTCAAGGTGCTCTTTTTGTAAATGGCCATCATGAGCCCTACAATAAGCCATAGTCAAATGTCCCCTGAAATGATATTTCCTATTGTCTTTGGATGCGCATTACAATAATCTCTACCAACTCCCTTATTTGCCTCTCCAAGTCACCCTTAAGTGAAGTGATCACTTCCTTGGGTGTCCTGCTTTCATTTTGCTGGTCACTGGACAAGGATCTTGCCATTGGAATGCCAACAGCTAATGAATAAGCTCATATTCAGGGGTGGTATCAAAATTGTGTGATCCTTAACACCCCCAGACACCTTTGCTGCCTCTCTATAACAAACTCTTTTCTTCCTTGGGGGCAGTATGGCTGCCACATTTGGACTCTAACATCCTAGCCCCTGATGTGCTGAATGGGGAAGTAGAGAAGGCACTGTAGAAAATAGTCAAGAAATGCAGCTGGACCATATGACTGACAATGCACAGAGGCAGTCCATGCTGGGAGCCTTGAGGGTGACATGTGGGGGTGGGGGAAGGGACAGCTGGCATGGTTTTGAAAGTGTTGAGTGATCGATTTTCAAGATATCTGAGATAGAGGAGGCTGTGGAACACTTGATAAAAAAGGATGTTGTTATTTTTTAAAGCACCAAGAAAATATAAACTACCATCAAACTATGTGCCTTACTTTCATATCTCTGAGAATAATCTGCACATATATTGAGGGCATTCCTGATGGAGGTTTCAGAAGGGCTCATGCAGTCTTTGGCAAACAGTATCCTACAGCAGACCCAATCTTTACAGTCACACAAATAAAATGTATAGAGAATGCAATATCCAATGGTTCTCATCTGCTGAATATATATATATATATATATATATAGAGAGAGAGAGAGAGAGAGAGAGAGAGAGAGAGAGAGACTGGATAGAGCAAATGCTCCCTCAAAGGTCTGGCTGTCCTCCACACCTGCTACTCCCTCTCCCAATTCCAGGCATTTCCCCAGGCTGTGCCCCATGCCTGGAATTCTCTCCCTCTTCATCTCTACCTCCTGGGCCTCCCTGGCATCCTTCAAATCCCAGTTAAAATTCTACCTCCTATAGGAAGCCTTTCCCACCCCCACCCTCCCCTAATTCCAGTGCTTTCCATCTGTTGATTGTTTACAATTTATTTGGTCTATACCTTGTGTGTACATAGCTGTTTGTGTGTCATCTCCCCCATTAGACTGTGAACTTCTTGAGAGATAGGACAGTATCCCCAGCACTTAGCACAGTGCGTGGCACAAAGTAGCACTTGAGAAATGTTTACTAACAGACTGATGCCAAAATCATGAAAAGTAAGAACGGGGAAAACTTTGTTCAATGACCCTCTGACTGTTAATATCAGTCAAGGCATAAAACCAGGGAGATGTATGCTCCCCAAAGTTGTTTCCCACTGCCAAGGAAAGTATCCATAAAAGAGTTCAAATGGAAGAGATGAGGTCTTGTTTGTAGGTGGCTTTGCACTGACTATATCAAAGCCCATATGATTGCAGAGCCTTCTTAATGAGAGCAAGAATCGCAAAAATGATTTCAGCCTCAGCATCCCTAGAAACCAAGGCATGGACCAAGGATGGCTCTTGTCCTCACTATGCCAGGTGGACCTTCCATCATACTTTGTCTTAAATGCTGTCTCCTTCTCCCTCTTTACTATTTCACTTAGTTACCTCATTAGCTCCCCTGAACTCAATGACCACCTCTATGCTGATAACTCTTAAGCCTATTTATCTAGCCCTGACCTCTCTGCTGACCTTCATTATTACATCTCCAATTACCTATTGGACGTCTAGAACTGGATGCCCCATAGACATCCTAAAGTCAACAAGCACAAAACTGAAATCATGATGTTTTCCCCAAACCCCTCCCCTCTTCCAAACTCGTCCATTACTGTCGAGGTTATCAGCATCTTTCCATTTACTCAGGCTCAGCATTTTGATATCGACTTGATTCCTCATTCTCTCTCATCCCCATAGCTAATCTGTTGTCAAGGCCTGTTGACTTTACCTTCAGAACATATCTCCCATCTGCCCACTTCTCTCCTTTGACATGACCACCATTCTGCTGCAGGTACTGTTTCTTTACACCAATATTCTTCAAGTGACGCCATCTGGTTTTGAGTAATGGAATTAAAGTGTCAGGCCACCTAAAGAAGCAAGGGAGAGGTTCATGGCGGGCATGAGTAGATTACAACCTATAAGTGTTTATTGAATGATTGATTACCTGGCTGAAGTGAGGTATCCACAGTGATGATATCAGAGATTCATTGAATTTTTGAAATATGAAAGCTATTTGGGTCTGGAAGACCTGAGTTCAAATCCAGCTTCAGATACTTACTAGCTACACGACCCTGGGCATATCACTTAACCTCTGTTGGCCTCAATTTCTTCAACTGTGAAATGGGAATAATAACAGCAGCTACCTGGACAAACATGAGAATATTTATAAAGCGCTTTGTAAATCTTACAATACTATATAAATGCTAACTGTTAGTATTATTATTAATAATAATTATAAGAAATGATGACGATGAAGAATTCAAAGAAACTTGAGCTGATGTGGACCAAAGAAAGCAGACCCAGAGAACACTATACACAATGGCTATAATAATATGAACAAAAAAGAGACTAAAATTAACTGAGTGCAATAGCCAGTCTCAGTCCTGGAAAGCAGATGACAAAAGCCAGCTCCCTTTCCCTAGAAGGGGGGTGCAGAATTTTGTATACGTTGTTACATGTGGGATCTTCTTAGCTGCTTCAGCCTAACTGCTTTTCTCCATTATAAGGGAGGGTAGGACAGGAGATAAATATGTCAGAAAATGACTGTTGTATAAAAAAAATAAGGCACCAATAAAACAGAAAAAAAAATGAGTGAGTTTTCTCCTGCCCCTGCAGTCCTATGGAAATTCAAGACAATGCTTTCCTTCCTGTAGTATGCTGAGAAGACACATGACTATGCAGCAGAGGCACTAAAGTTTCTTCTGTGTACACGGAGAAAGAGATTCAAGGTAATATGGTATGTGCCCATTAGACAGCTAATTGGCTCATATGTACATTAACATATTGCTTTGTCCCCTTCATGCTCTAATATTAAAGGACTCCAGGTGCAGGAAAAACAACACAATATGTTTGAGGAAATCTAGTGAATTTAATATCCTGAGTCCCTTTGGCTGATGCTGAAATTCTGTCTTGTGGCTCTCTAGAGGGTTAGATATTTCATCTAAAAAACTACCTCTACAGACTCTTGCATCTTAGCCAAAGCTGCTTTTTAATTGCCAATTTTTCATAAGCTGACCAATTAAAGTCCAGCTTAGAGCAACTGATTTGTGCACCCAGAATGTATACTCTAGTCATGTGTGTTTGTATGAGTTTTTATTTAGAACGATTGGTCGAGATATTTAGAATAAAATCTCAGACATACTTCTTAGGTCCAGAATATGGTGGTAGGAAGATGGGAAGGGGAGAAAATTTTAAAAGAATCAGCAAACCTGCAGTCTTATGGTATAAATGCTCAACACTTGTCAGCCACATTTAGAAGCATTTCCAAAAATGGCCTGAACAAGATGGCGGGCAGATTCTGACATCCTGGCAGATCAGTCTTGTCAAGGCTAGGCTGCTGCATATTCTTTGATGTGGTATTAATGATGTGCTCTAATCAACCCTAGGAACAGATCTTCAGGCCCAAGGTGATCTCAGTGCATCATTGGAAGTGAAAAGCTCCATTTGATCTCCATCTGACAGTGGTCCCTAAACAAAACTTGTCAATCAGAGCTGCACACATATAATCAAAAGAAAAAAGAGAGAGAAGCTTAAATGGAAAGCAGCAGAAACAACAGGTGGCATGGTTTCCAGAATGGGCTATCACCCAAGAGGAAAAGCAACACTGATTCATGAGCATAGCTACAGGGCCTGGTACTGAGCCAGCTCCAAATCCCTCTGCCTTTAGAAGAGCGTTTAATTTTTTAGCATCTTAGGAAATGGGAGTAAATTGTGTACTGGTGATTGGCAGCACATCGATGACTGGCCCCAGCCTCAGGAGCACTTCTAAAGGCATCTTGAAGGTACTGGCCCTGGCAGGATTTCGCTCAGGTCTACATGCCAACCTGGAGAAAATGTCTTTGGGAGCCCTTGGCCTCGCCTGCTCCACCCCAATGCCAGACATGGTGGATCTTTCCTTTCCACTGGGATTTCTCCTATCACTTTCACAGAGAGTGTCACCAAACAGGTTCAGAAAGAACCCCTGGTGGAATGGTGTGCCAGTCCTGGTTTGGCAAGAATTTTAATCCTCACGCGCAGGATCCTGGACTCCTAGGAGTGGGGAGGAGTAGCTGTCTAGTGCAGCCAATACTTGAGAGGAGGGGCCACCATAACGTGCCATGTGCCCCACTGCTCTGTTGGACAGCACTAAGTAGTAGGGTGCTGCTCTGGCCTAAACTGCCCTCTCTGCAACTCCAAGCCCTGCATTCCTGAGGGTCAAACAGAGTAAGTCTACTTCATATCCTCCATGGTAGTCCGCCAAATGCTTGAAGGCAGCTAATACATTGTCTAGATAACTAGAGAGTATAGGAGGTACTGCAGCTAGAGATGGGAAGCTATCTGGGTATGCCTAGAGAGACAGACAGACAGATAGATAGATAGATAGATAGATAGATAGATAGATAGATAGACAGACAGACAGACAGACAGATAGAGCACTGGACTTGGACTTAGGAGAACAAGTTCAAATCCTGCTTCAGACACTTCAGTCAGCCACTCAGTCAATAAACCTTTATAATATATTCACTAGCTGTGTGATCCTAGGCAAGTCATTTAACCTCTGTCAGCCTCAGTTTTGTCAATTATAAAATGGGAATAATAACAGCACCTCCTTTCCAGGCTTGTTTATAAGGTGCTTTGCAAACTATAAAGCACTATATAAATACTGGCATCATCATTGTCATTGTCTGTGTTGCCCAACGCAGCGACATCATGGGCATCATCATTATCTTAGAGCACCCCTCCCACTTTCTAGGAGCTTTCGAGTATCACTGGCAGTGAGGGACCCGGCAATCCTACCTGCAGTTTTTTCAGTGCCTGAGGATAAAACTCTTCTGGTCCAGATGATTTGAATTTCTCAGGGGCAGCTTGGTACCCCTTTGCTATCCCCTTATTTAACTTGGGTACCAACTTCCATCAGCCATTTTGATGCTGTCCTTTCCACTGAAAGCTCATTGTCCTTGGCAGAGAAGGCAGAAGCAAAGCAAGACTTGGGCATCTCTGTCATTTCTCTATTGGCCGTTATGGACCCAAGCAAAAGTCCTATCCTTTCTTTTCCTCTCAATATAGCTAAGAAATAACCCTCTTTTTGTTTTCCCTCACTTCCTTCACCAGCCTTGGCCTGTTCAGAGCTTTAAAACTGATGTTATTTGAATAGACTCACATTACACTTTTAGGTACACTTCCTCTTAAAATCGAAATTGGTTAGAAAGTTCTCTGTGTATCCATACCAGCCTCTTCAGAGAGATCTCCTTTTTCCTCCTCAATGGAATTGTTTCTCTTGGTGTCTTTGAGATTTCTTGAAGCATCTCCCACCTTGAGCATCCCCCACCCCTTGGGGGGCTGACATCCTCTGTAGCATTTTAGTCCATGGGATCCTCCTACCTCTCATTCCTCTGACCCCTTTGTAATCTGATTGCCCCAAATTTAGGGTACAAGTCAAATATGTTTCGATTTTATCTCTTCTATCACAATAGGAAAAGGGGTCACTTCATTCTGGGTTCCCATCACTCTTACCCCAGTGACTATTTTCTCTCTGTTAATAAGAAAGAAAAGTTCACAATAGTATTTCATCCTCTAGCTTTTGAAGGCTAGTCAAAGGCCTACTAAAGAGAGCTTCAGCAGCTCTGAACTCAATCCTCTTGGGAGGACAAGTGGCAACTTCCCCCTCAGAGCACCCAGCTCCCTCCTTTTCAGATCTGTTTTCAGTCTCAAAGTGTATAGCTGCCCTTTCTTCTTCCCTTTTTCCTATGAAATAATGCCTGATAAGAGCTGAGGCTCCCTACCCCACCTCAGATCTCTTTTCTTCCTGCTGAAGCCTCCCTCTTATTTCTTCTGGGAACCCTCCATTGACCCTGACAACCTGGAGTCTGGAGAAGCATTTCTTGGAGTCTTTCACCTCCTCCAAGAGGAAGCCAAGCCTACACTTGAAACTCTAATCCTCATTCACAGGATCCTGGACTTCTAGGGGCTGGCCTCCTAGGAGCGGCAACTAGGCTAGCCAGTACTGGCTGGCAGTCACTCAGCTCTGGTAGAAATCACAACAGCATACACTTAAATGCAATGATTTCCCCTAGTCTCCACACATCAATCTTCAGGACCTCCTAAAACCTTTTACAGACAATCATCAACTCTTACTAACTTGCCAACCCCACGTGACTTCCTTTCCTCAACCTGGACAACTGCACAGCTACATCCCGCCTCCCCTTCCATCTGTTCCGTTAGTTTGCCTCACCCATCGCTTCACTCCCTCAGGTGGTTTTCTCCCACCATTTCCCCACAGCTTTGCTTCCTTACCTTGCCTTGTCTTGGCCACTGCCTGCTTCTTTTCCCTCTTGAGCCTTTGTCTTCAGGTCCTGCTCCCTAGGCCTCCTTGGTACTTCTCAATCCTGGGATATCTCTGAGAGAGAATCCAGAACAGCTGTTGTTGTCGTCATTGTTGTTGTTGTTTGGCCTTCATTCTTGAAGAGGACCAATGACATCACAAGGGTGATGTCTTCACTTTCTAGTGAGTTAGATTTAAGTGAGGCAGAGCTGTGCAGAATCGTCAGCCTCACTCTCTCCTTCAGCAGCAGACAGAGGTCAAGACAAATGGCGATGGCCCAGGATACAGTGGGTGACCTTGGCCCTTCTAAATTAAGTCTGATACTGGTGCAGATACTGAACCAGGAGGTAATTATTCAAATGGTCCTCAATTTCCTCTCCCTAAATTCAACTTCTGATCTTCTTTTTACTCATCCTAACCCCTCCAAATCACCCCCACAATGCCCTTCTCCAAATCTGGTCTAAGTCCTTCTTACTTCTCCTTAGGAAGTTGGAGATAGGATTCAAGTTCAAATGGTAAAAGTCTTTCTTGACCACCACCTAAGTGCAAGTCTTTGTGTTAGGGGCTGAGGGAAATATAGAAATAGATGATTAGTCCCTGCCCTCAAGGTGCTTACGATCTACTGGGAGAAATAAGATCAGCATACAAAGAAGTACAGTACAGAGTAGAATGTAACATGCATAAGGGAGGGACAAAGAAATAGAATGAGTGGAGAGAGATTCATGGACATGGCAGTTGAGTTGGGCTCAGGAAGAGGAGTAGGCAGAGATATGGAGGGGGGG